AGAACTCCTGGTCATATCACTGCATCCAGACTGAAAGTTGCTCCAAATACAGCTATAACAACCAGGTGCTCCATTTGGGTGAGAACAGTGAGGGGTGCACAACAGGAGAGGAGCTTTACCGGGGGGGGTGTTGATGGGAGTGTATGCTGTCTGAGGTGTGGGCTACATGGGAGGTCGCTAGCAGGGGACGAAGCAAGCTATGTGGGGACTCAGGGATAGACTACAAGTTGTGTACGACCCTATTAGATGGGTCCAGCCAGCACACCAGAACTGCACGGCACACAGGGAATGGGTGCGCTATCACGGAAGTGGCCTACCACAGCAGTCAGCAACTGAGACGCTGGGCTGGGGTTCAGGTGCCAATCAAGGAGGCTGGTGAGGGAGTAGACTACTAATAGAGGGCTTGCATTGCAAAAAAAACATACGAGCTACTATGGGGGTGAGCTGCCGAGCCAATGGGCTACACAGACACCGCCTACAGAACAGAAGGCTACTCATAGGACTTGTATTGCAAAAAAACATATGACCTACTGTTGGGCTGAGCTGTCGAGCCGGTCGGCTACACAGACGCTGCCAACAGAACAGAAGGCTACTCATAGAGGGCTTTCACTGCGAAAAACCATACGAGCTACTACGGGGCTGAGCTGCTGAGCCTATGGGCTACACAGACGCTGCCTACAGACTGTTCTGCGGACATGGGCTACTACAGGGGGGAGCTACCTAGGCAGTTGGTCATTGGGCAACTGCCGTGCACTATTGTGAAAAATACCATAGAATAGACTAACGGAGGGAGTGCAGGGTTATCACTGGATTGGGCAGCCGGGGAATTGGACTGGATTCACAAGGGGGTCAGCTACCACAAGTTCATGTGTCTGCGCTACCAGGCCACCGAGGGGATGGTGGGTAACAGGAGGTCGGTCACCAAGTCCTACGCTGACCACAGTCGACAGGTGTCTTTCGCCCAGAGGAGCAGGACACAAGATCCAGATAGCATGCAGCAGTGGCAGCGAAGTCTGTGAACAAACCATCCACTCCCACCTTCTCCACAAAGAGACTGTATTCCTGGAACGGATCTTGTCCATAATTGAAGGCCAGGAACACTAATTCATTCCTGAAGACCAAAGGATGGACCTGGAGGTGCCGTGCATGAGCTTCGTCAACAAGATTCGAGACTGCCCCCAACTTATTGGTTGTGCTGTTCACAGGCGCAATCAGAACCTTGTTTGGACCAATTGCATCCGCATACTTTCCGATTTCATCAAGTGCTTCTCCCACAGACTTGTGTGAACCGCCCAGTTGATCTGGCCAATCCTCGTCAAGCAGCTGAAGTAGAGGGACAGTTGTCTTACCACGCAGGTGCTTAAGGCAAGCGTCATGAAAGGACTCAACGAAACCACCCCGCCCAGACCAAACCCCATCAGACTTCACAAGACCATTGCGCATCCTCCATCTTCTTCTCCACGACCACCCTGAGCTCATGCCATCAAGGACTCTTCGTCTCCACATAAAAACCGATTTCCCGCCCCCAAGAGCCTGTCAGCAACAGGTCCAGGTACTCTTCCAGTGTCGGGATCTGATATTGCCCATCATAAGACCCATCCCGAAAGCTCAGCCTCTGGATAGCTCTCAGCCGCTTTGTCTCATCTAATGTGAAATCTACGGCGAAGTAGCCTGTCACATTCTTCCCATCAATCTCATAGGTCTTCCTCCTGTTCGCAAATTCAGGAATCATGGCCACATTTGTCGTCTTTGACATATCTGGCTCATGCCTACATATCAACACCCCATCCTTGGTCAACACCGCACCACAATCGGCAAAATCAGCTCCTTGTAAGATGGCCTCGCGATAAGCCTCTAAGGTAAGCTCCGGGAGCATTCCCAATGCACCGTGATGAGCAACAATCAGTGGACGGTTGTGGCCATGAGGCCCACCATTCATGCCCATTCCTGTCTTTCTGTCGAGCATTGACGCTGCGGACAAACAGCAGGCCATGACAGCCATATACATTCCCAAGGCCATGGCCCAAGCAATGACGCCATGGTTCATCTTATCCAACAACATGTATAGGCAACTGATAGTAGGGCAACTTCGTCAAACGGGAAGGCATGCTCCAGAGTCCTGCCAGTCCTGTCAGATAGCCAGCAGGTTCAACTACACTAACCGTCACACGTGCGGCAGACGTGTCTGGGATTCGCTCTCGCCAGCAGACAGCTCCAAGCCTTCTTCCTAGCGCAGCAATGGCATGGGCGGGTGCAAAAGAATGCTTTTATTGGTTCATTTTGCATTGAAGTTCACGTTCTTTCAGCCCTTCTAGGCATTCCATTCTTTCAAAGGCTCTGCGAGAATCTAAATTCTGAATGTGTAGGGCTCAGAGTCCGTGCTTCCTGTGTGCATGAAGGCTATGGTCTGACTCTTTTCCGTGGTTGCTACCATTTCCTCTATTTGTTTGACCTGTGCTAATTACAGCTTTTCTGCTTTTATTGTCACTTCCAGTATTAACAGGTGCTATTACTATGCTATTAACTGATAGAAATTTTAATACCACTCTTTTTAACACTGCGGGAGGAGGAGATCCTAATCTTTTTATTTCAATTAACCAGCGTCATTTGCTTTCTTCAATTGTCTTGTGACTTGAAAAATTTTGGTTTGCATGATCCTTGCCAAATCTTGCAACACGTACTTAGCTAACCGCAGGTGACTGATTGGATTTTGGGTAGGCTACAGGTAAGCACCAGCCCTCTTCATCCAACTGTCGTCCGCTCAATTTGTTTTAGGCTATGCAAAGTGCGCTGCACACAAGGCATCAACATTTCTCAAGAACCGGGCCCTGTAGGGACAAAACACGTCCATGAATAACCTTCACCGCACACATAATTTTGAGTAGGTCATCGGTGTGGAAGAAAGTCTCATTAACAGGGCCTAACACAGCCCCCCCAAAATTTGATAGACCAAAAAGAAACAAGTTAGGAGGGCTGACAGCTCCTCAAGAGACTTTTGGCCACATACCTCCCGAGTTTTTTCGGAGTGTACGCAATGCACAGTTCACCGCAAACGTCTATGGCCCAGAAACAGTTACAGGGAGTCTGAATCTACAGTTCATTCCGGTCAGCATGAGGCAAAAGTAGCCAGTCGGCATGTATCTGGACAATGTCGGGAGTCGGATGCAGGTCATGCACCTGCTGCACACGTCCAAGCGCAGAACCTCCGCAAAGAGACTCACACAGGCTCAAATTCACATAAACACGCACACATACACGCGCAACATGGGCACATACGCACATATGTAGCAGATCGAGACACACACAAACTTGTCTGCACAAGCTCACACAGTCAGTCGCACGCACGGCCAACACCTGTGCGCGCGCACACATCCACATCATGAAGTCTTCTGAAACTTCAACAAACCTTTACAATCACAAGAGGTAGCATCAGTAGGTTCTCTACTCACAAACACAGACCAGTTATTATTTCGGTCCTGACTAAGTTTGTTTCAAAGTGATCAAAACATCCTGCTGTCTTTGAAGACCGCTTTTGAACTAGGAAATAGAAAAAAAAAACAAAGAAAGATGGCTTTAATTAAGTGCTGTCAACGGACAGTCTCATCTCATCCATCCAGCCTCCACATTGTGGTTCACCTCACTAGGTGTAAGGCATGCTTAGGCTAGTAGGCTTTTACAACCGTCGTTCCGTATCTTGCTGCAATCAGATCTAGCTACCATGTGTCCCAAGTAAGTAAACCAAATAATTAAATAAAGTTGATAGTATCTGTTTTACTTGGATTAGACGACGATGATAATAATAACAGAGTTTTGAATCTAAATACTCGAACTCCCTAAGCGTTAGAGCTATAATGCCATGCGAAAGGTTCCCCAACATCCGAATCATGTCCCCCCCGAGTCCCGACAACCAAGGCCCTGCCCAACATCCAGCCCACTGACATGACTCCAGAGCCCTTCAAGCAACGCCAAAGCAAACCATGTCTTCTTATCCCTCTGAACAGCAAAATGCCAAAACCTACAAAGTCGATTTCCATAGAGGAACTCAGACGCAGTACAAAAGGCTGTGAAGCAGTACATTCAGGTCGAAGCGTAAGCTGAAGTGCCTTAGTCAGCATGCCCACGCAAGTCCTTGCCAAGAGGTGTTCACATCTCTATACCCTCGGGAGTCTACTTACTATGACTCAACTACGCCATTTCATCTTTATGTATCTGCAACACCCACTCCTCTTCTCTGCGCTTTCCAGCAACCTTGTCTTTTCTACCCTTCTGGCATCATCAACAGGGATAGGGGTCAAAAACTTCAATCTGATGTGCACAGACTTATTGAAGTGCCCTCCGATCCGTGCGAAATAGTCGCCCATTACAGTCACTAAATCTACTTGCTTTGAGTTCTCTACCTATTTGGCGGGGTGGGTTTACACTCGGTAGTCTACTTACTATGACTCAACTACGCCATTTCATCGTTATGTATCTGCAACACCCACTCCTCTTCTCTGTGCTTTCCAGCAACCTTGTTTTTTTCTACTGTTCTGGCATCATCAACAGGGGTAGGGGTCAAAAACTCCAATCTGATGTGCACAGACTTATTGAAGTGCCCTTCAAACCGTGCGAAATAGTTGCCCATTACACGGCTCACTAACTCTACTTGCTTCGAGTTGTCTACCTATTTGGCGGGTTGGGCATACCCTCCGTAGTCTACTTACTATGACTCAACTACGCCATTTCATCTTTAGGTATCTGCAACACCCACTCCTCTTCTCTGGGCTTTCCAGCAACCTTGCTTTTCTACCTAAGGGCTAGCCAAGAGCACGACTCGACTATCCTCAGGAGTTCGCTGGACTGGCATCTAAGACAGCATCACAGCATTGTCAACGCACAAGAACACAGCTCCTTGATGCATTGCAAGTTCAGCAGCAGTCGTCGATGCGTGAATGTTCCAGTTCCACAAGTAGGCTACCTTCTTCCCCCGATACAACATGAGGTCATTATAGAATGTTCGGTGGAAGGTAGTAGGTTTGATTCCTAGTGGGTTGATCTTGGGACTTCTTCGTGTATTCGCAATCTTCCAGAGATAGACAGCTGTTAGGACTGGGCAGACGTCAGGAATGACCAGCTGTTTGGTGGGAAGCTCATAGGTTCGATTCCTAGTGGGTTGATCTTGGGATTTCTTTTGTGTATTCACAATCTCCCAAAGATGGCCAGCTGTTAAGATTGGTCGGATGTCAGGAATGACCAGCTGGACATCCACCCAAGATGGTCAGCTATCAGGAATGACCAGTCTAACACCTATCCGGGAATGAACAGCTGTTAGGGATGGCCACCCGTCAGGAACGACCAGCTGTATCTCCACCCAAGCCATTCCTTGCCATCCAGTAACGAACGACTCCAGGGGGGATTGGCTCACTGATTGACAGCCAGTGTGCTCTTGTTGCTATGGCCTCACTGCCACTGACACAAGTCATGACATGTGTCCTTGCTCCATCCAATTGTCCGTTTTCAGACCCCTACGGAACATGTTCAGAGTCTTGAATGCAATACCTTCTTCTCCCGAATACAATGTACTCATTCCTGACATCTGCCCAGTCCTAACAGCTGTCCAACTCCAGAAGATTGCAAATACACAAAAGAAGTCGCAAGATCAACCCACTAGGAATCGAACCTACGACCTTCCACCAAGGAGGCAGAACACTTGGCCAATAGGAAAAGTGAGCTGGGATGAAAGTGAAGCCCCTTGAGGGACGTTTCAGCCCACCCACCTCTGCATGGAGGAGCACATCCATGACCCGGTGTACCCAGACTCTACTCAACCCATGCCTTTCGGCCACCTGTCAGACCACAACCAAGCCACGGCAAGGGCATCCCGACAGGCTCTGCACGCTTGTAAATCAACACAAGAGATCCCCAGATCTCTGCAAGATGTCCATTCGTGAATGGATGCCCACATTCCTGACAGCTGGCCAGCGTGGGTGAATGTCCAGCTGGCATCAATGAGAGCTGTCCACTTCTGGATGGATGTTCAACTGGGCATTGATGCCAGTTGGCCGTTCCAGGATGGGTGCCCAATTGGCGATTCCAGAATGGGTACCCCCAGCTGGTCGTTCCTCGACGAATGACTACGTGTTAGGAGGAGACCTGAATTCACAACCCATTCCAAGTGTCGAAGGTGCATCTTGAAGGCTGCTCTGCTACAGTATCTCATGGCAGGAGGGCAGCAAATTAGAATTAGCTTCGGACACAACGAAAGGTCAGTAGAGCTCCACCACAGAAGATAGCAATCACATAGACACATAAGATGCGAGCACAGCTTGAAGCAGCTCACGAGTTTTCAGCCGCCAGTTCATCGCCCACGTGAGATAATCTGCCGATTATGGGTGAATTGTGCTACCAAACCAAAAAGTCTGGCAATGCCAGCCAAGAAAGAAAAACAGTGCGCCGCTCTTCAGCAAACCTTGGCCCGCCAAAAAAGAATTGGCTCAGAGGTGCTAGTGGCTTAAGAAGCACACCTGTGCGTGCATCGTGAATGGCCTCTTTTTTTTCTTTTTTTCTTGAAATTTACATATAACTCTTGCTCTATCTATTCGAAGGGGCAGAAGTTTAGTTACTACTCACAGGCAACCATAGAGTCCAGAGAGAGCAGAAACAGGTAAGAGGAGAAGGGCTATAGAGAGCAGAAACAGATAAGAGAAGGGCTATCCCTCCCAGGTCGGAGATGCAGCATGAGGCCAAGCAATAGTCATGTGCTCTTTGCTAAAGCGCTTTTCTAGCTGAGATGTATTTGTCTGAAATAACAGGCGGATTCTGTCAAAAAAAAAGAGCAAATATGACAGTATATGGTCTAAGCAATCATAGGTTCTTGCTAGATGTTCTCCAAATCACTTAATCCCCGCCCCTCCTGGCCCCCCTCCTCGTCAGAGTTTTCAGTCCCTTGCAATGCACTAGATGCCAACGCCTCCTGCTGACGCAATAGTGAGGAGCTTAACTTCTCTCCATTGTCTCCACTACTGGCCATAAGCAGATCAATTACAATCATCGCGAGCTCCTTCAGTCCTTTCTCACGCCGAATTTTGTTTACCGCCTCTCCGCCCTTCCTCGTCTCTTCACTTACAACAATCGCGTCTATATCTTCGTCCTCAACCGACATCCCATAAGGATCCATCAATGGCACTACCACTACGTCCAATGATGGTTTCACCGATTTCAGAAACGATTCGATCGCAGATTTTCGCTTAGCGAAAGGTTGAATCATATCAGCCAGAACTTTCTTTGAAAGCATAGGTCCATCTGTCAAGCCAATCATAATCCTCTTATTCGCAGAATTTGCGGAAGCGCGCAGCAACGCTTCATGTCCACCATGCAATCGGTCAAACGTACCGCCAAGAACCACACTGTCATAACAATTCAACGAGTTTCCTTTGCCCATCTCATCCATCTTACTCAGCCCCTTCACTCGTTTAAATTGGCACAATCTCTTTATATCTCTTGTTCAGAACTTCACGTTCAATTTGGCACGATCTCTTTATATCTCTTGATCAGAACTTCCACATAAAATCGTGAGTAGAAGGAACTCAGCATCGGTTGTGGGCAATATTCTTCTGACAAATACCCATCAGATGTATGCATTCCCATGCTTCTCCACCAGCTGTCCATACAGAACCAACGTCAGCATTGCTGCTACCAGCATCCCATACAAACTAACAGACATCTCTCTCTCTCTCTCTCTCTCTCTCTCTCTCTCTCTCTCTCTCTCTCTCTCTCTCTCACACACACACACACACACACACACACACACACACACCCCACAACGGCTTAAGTGCATAAGCCCACGGATTGCAATGGAGGTACAGGTGTAAGGTAATGCAACACGATCACAGCATAGATACATTGAACCAGGACGGGGGGCTTACAAGGGACGAGAGGTGCCAAATGCCCTTACTGAGAGGGAAAGGTAACTGTCGAAGCGACTGCCAGAAGCTCGATCCACTTAAGGGGGGTGGTTTACATGGCAGGCCACTGAAGCGGGCAGATGGTGATCTACCAGGAGTTGCATGTCTGTCCATGGTTAGCAGTGAGCCAACCCGGAGTGAGCCACCACCAATCCAGTGGCGGGGTGAACTACTGAAGCAGCGGGGGTAGTGAGTTCTACAACGTTCAGAGAAGCTAAGGTGCTGTCTGCATGGCACATGGGTCATCCGGGCTGATGAAGTACAAGTTAATAGAAACGGCACAGCGCACTGCTAGGGAGTCAATTGTCAGCTATTGGGCTACCACAATGATCAGCAAGGGCAGAGGCTGGGCTTCTGGGCTACCTGGTCCCGGGGCGAAAATATCCTCACAGGAAACCGGGAAGCGCTGCAAGGGCGTGCTTAGGGGGATGCACTATGAGCTACCACAGGGACATCAGGCTACCAGGCTGGGGAAAGGGGGGGGGGGGGGGGGGGGGGGGGGGGGGGGGGGGGGGGGGGGGCATGGCCTACCACGCGCTGGCAGGAATGGGGGCGATCGACCTCCCAGAGTGCGAACAACCTTCTGTCTTCACCCGAATAGAACTCCTGGTCATTATCACTGCATCCAGACTGAAAATTGCTCCAAATACAGTGATAGTAACCAGGTGTTCTATTCAGGCAAAGATGGTCCGGGGTGGACAACAGCAGAGGAGCTTTACCAGGGGGGCACTTGATGGAAGGGTATGCTACCTGAGGTGTGGGCTACACGAGGGGTGGATAGTGGGGTGCGACGGCTACAGGAAAGCAAGCTACAAGTGAGTTGGTTGCAGCAAATGTGGGGTATCAAGGATAGACTGCCAAGGGTACAGAATACTAGACAGGTTCAGCAAGCACGGCAGAGAGGTACGGGTGGGCAACCACGGAAGTGGGCTAACACAGGGGTAGGAATTTAAGATGGTAGGCTGGGCTGCAGGTGGAGTGGACTATCAAAAGGGGAGACCACTGAGCAACTAGGCTACTAATAGAGGGCTTGAAGTCGAAAACTACATTAGCTACCAGGCCGATAGGCTACACAGAGGCTGGCTGCTACAGACTGTTCTGAAGCCATGGGGCCATGGGCTAGTACAGATGATTGGACACCATCCACAGCATGATTGCCAGGGGAGTTGGCCAGCTGGGCAGTTGGTGCAGGTTTCATAATGGGGTCGGCTGAGGGGGTGGGTACTCAACAGTGTCACTGTGGAGGGGGTTAGGCAACCGGGGAAGGGGGAAGAGGGGCTGAACGGAGAGGCGACCTGCCGAGAGAGTGGGGGTCAGGCCGGAATGGGCTGCCAGGCGTATGAGCAACCGAGGGGTTGGGCTGCCAAAGAGGGTGGGCTACCGGGAGGAGTGGGCTACCTGGAGGGTGGGCTACCTGGAGGGTGGGCTACCGGAAGGAGTGGGCTGCTGGTTTCATAAGAGGGTCGGCTGAGGGGGTGGGTACTCAACAGTTTCCCTGTGGAGGGGGGTAGTCCACCAGGGGTTGGGCTGCCAAGAGGGTGGGCTACCGGGACGAGTGGGCTACCAGGCGGTTTCTTGTCTTGGATAATACAGTCCTCAAACCACATCACAATGGTGCTGACAGCACCAAAGAACTGAAAACTCTTCCAAAATTGAGTCCAGTTAACTCCGGTTAGATTGCTATTATGAGATCACCAGTGGCTAAAAAAGGATTATTGATGACAGCAGTCGAATAGACTTGTCAGTAACCACCCCTACTGCAGTTCCTTCTTTGTTCTAATTCGCACTAATAGCGAAAAGTATGATAATCCTTCGACTATGATAATCCGTCGACTATCTTCTCGTCCGGTGCGGAGTGACTGAGAGTACAGCTAGCATGTTTTGTGCAGTGGGGAAGGAAGCCGCACTCTATTGGATATACAAAGGACACACTACCGTCTTCCCCCGAGCATAACGCATGTGCGTTGTATTCGAGTTTTCCAAAAATAGAAAATTCGAATAGAGCGCACATGCATCGTATTCGTTCGTAAGGGCTGTTCCAATAGAACACACGTGCGTTCTATTCCAATAGAAAGCAACCCTCTATGCGTTGTATTTGTTTCACAATGCATATGCCTTATCTCGTCCGGTGCGGAGTGGACTGACTGAGAGTACAGCTGGCGTGTCTTGTGCAGTGGGGAAAATGCACTCTATTGGATATACAAGGACACAAGGTAGGATCCCATTTGTGTATGATGAGCGACTATCTCGTCTGGTAAAGACTGGCCTTGAATACAGCTGGTATGTTTTGGCGCCGTGGGGATGTTGCAGTCTATTGAATATACAAGGATAGACAACCTTTTTTTTTTCTTTTTTTTTTGTGACGACAACCTTGAGATACGATCATTTTTTTTGTTGTTTCATTTATTTTTTGAGAACAACCTTGAGGTACGATCATTGAGCTGACAGGCCCCACGGTAGTCATTACTATGTTGATCTGTTCGTCTGGTTGGATCTGAATTGGGGGTTGGGTCTGTATCTTATTTGTGGTAGACGTGGAGAACCCACCCGGGGGCCAAGTCCCACTAGTAGCGTTGAGCTACCTCAACGCCTGAATCTGGATGTGTTTGTGCAGACGTGCAGTTGAGGAAACTAAACACCATTTCTGCACATCTCCGCAACAGCGCCCAGATTCAGGCGTTGAGGTAGCTCATCGCTGCTAGTGGGACTTGGCCCCAGGGCAACACTCTCGTCCGGTTGAGAGAGAGAGAGAGAGAGAGAGAGAGAGAGTATAGTTGGCATGCTTTATTTATTATCAGTGGGGAAGTCTCAGTCTACGGGATGTACAAGGACAAGCACCTAAGATTCGATTCGATTCGATTTGTAGGAGCTGTAACAACCCGGGCCCAGGCCGATCTAATGAATCGTTTTTGGGGGAACAATTTACAAATACCCCTATAAGCTGAGATATATGCCACAATGCCCCTAAAACTTGTGCGTCGAGCCGATTGCCCTGTTGGGCCAAATTCTTTGTTTTATGCCCCTGTCAGCCAGGTGCAAAATTTTGCGATCTGAACCTGACCGTTGGGGCCCCCGGCAAAGATGGGAGCTCCAACGGACACCAGGGGTATTTCGCAAAAAAAATAAAAATTGTCAGAGGGGCATTCCGCTCTATTCACGTCTTTTAGGGACATTTCGGCACATTTCAACTTATGCGGGTATTTTGCAAATTATCCCTTTCCCTGATTTTTCCTTTTTCCTTTTTTGTCCCCATTCCAAAACGGATGCCGTGTTTGATGGACTCGAAAACTACCAAGGCGGATCGTTTATTTTATTTTAGTTTTTATTTTTTTTACGTATGCGCGACGGTCTAGAGGTATCAACATTCGCCACCCCTGCCCCAGGTATTATTTCCGAATTATTAAGTATTATTATCACGTTCTGTTTCATCTGGCTGCATCTGATTTCCAACTCGTGTGCGCATTTCGATTCGAAAAGTTCATGGTGTGGTGTATCAAGTGAGCTAGGGCCTCGCTGCACTACTCTCGAAATGTGCAAAACGAGAGTGAATCTTCCGCTAGAATATGGAAATATACACCGCCATGATTTTTGTCTTTTGTGCATTTCGAGAGTAGTGCAGCCAGGCCCCTAGACTCGTTGGTAGGGGCGTCGAGGACTAGGATGGATGTCTGAGTTGTTGAAGTCGTTGAAGGTATGGTTGAAACGAGACAGCGAAATCAAAAAACAGAAATATTATTTTTCTTTCTACGCTAATGTAAAAAAAATGCTAAAGTCGAATTTGTACAGGTTAGGACTGGAAGTCAGTAAGACTGACCTCCGCAGGCGAAAGCCTGTAAGCTAAGCTGGCTGATGCGTTCAGATAACCCAGGTTGATTTGTGAGGTCCCCGGCCTCGTTTTGTTCCCTCGTGTTATTTGAAATATAAGTTCCTTTGTTTAAAAGGAAAAAAAAAATGTATGCGTAGGGGGCGGGCTGATACCCTTAGGGGGATGAGCTACGGGCCTATCGATCAGAGGTCTACCTGGGGGATAGGGTACAGGGGTATTGTAGTGACAGGTTACCAAATGAGGGGGTTAGCAGGGGTCCGGGGGCTGGAACTACCCCCCACCAGGCGTACAGGGGAAAAAAATGGCTTAATCGGG